GCCCTGGAAGGCCCCTTTCCCTACTGCCACAGCGAGTGGGTGCAATTTTTCCAGGTGTCTACCATCACAGCCTTTAACCCCTGACCTTCACTCCTTCTCCTTCTCCCTTCACTTTCTTCCCCCACAGACCCATTTATTTGGTCAAGTTCAAAAACTAATAGTCATTCAGCAAATATTTACAGTGAAGGTTCAAGGTGGGATGATTAAGAGCTCAGCTCTGGGACCAGACTGCCCAGGCTCCATTCCCAGGTCTGCTGTGTGACAATGGGCAAGCTACTTACCTTCTCTGAGTCCTGATTTCCTCGTCTATAAAATGGGGGTAAGAATAATACCTCCCTATGGGGTTGTTGTGAGGATTAGCTTGAGTTAAAGTGGGTAAAGAATTTAGCAGCGTGTGTGGCATATGCTAAGAGCTATGTCAATATTGGTGGAGAACAAATGTCCAGGCATCCGCTCTGTGGACCTACACAGCCCAGGGGCCTCAGGGTCTGGTGGGGGAGGCAGAAGTGTTCCCTTCTGAAAGAGGGAGGAAAGACGAGAACAGCCAGCACAGGGCTCCTTCCCCGCATGGTTGTCAATACTCCTCCCACAACTCTGTAAGGGGGCATTTCACGCTCAATTTAATACCTGAGGACACACAGGGTGGAGTGATTTGCCCAACGGCTCCCAGAGAATTACAGGTTACATCAGGCTGAACCCAGTGCCCATCCACCAGCCCACAGTTGTCTCCATACCAGGGGTGCCCAACCCCAGCACTCCTCACATTCCAGACCAGAGGACACGTTTGTGTGGGAGGCTGTCTTATGCATCATAGCGTGTTTAGTAGCAGCCCTGGCCTCTAACCACTCTGTGACAGCAGCGCCCCCTAGTGGTGACAACCACAAGTGACATTTGACGCGGCCAAATTCTCCCCATTGAGACCACTGGCCAGAAGCACTGTGGTTTGTTGATGTACTTTTTGCCAAGATGGCCTTCTTTTTAAAATTGTGTCCATTTTGAATAGGCAGTATTTTCCAAATGCAATGGGACAAAAGTGTGTAGAGTGAAAAATCTCCTTTCCTACTTATCCCCCATCCCTCCAGCTCCCCTTTCCAGAGGCATCCGATTAATCCAATGGCTTTTGAAGGATGTTTTAGCTGCAAAGCCCATTCTTCAAAGGAAATCTTACCTGTAAGCCCAAAATATAAAGCTGATAAGGGTTGTGAAGACTATATGCTGGGCACTGTTCTAGGTGCTTTATACAAGTGAATCCATTTCATCCTCACATGACCCTAAAAGACAGGAGCTACAATGTTCCCCATTTTGTGGAAGAAGGAGAGGAGGCACAGAGAGGTTAAGTTACTTTCCTAAGGCCTCACAACTGGGAAATGGTGGATCTGAGCTGAAATGAGACACAGCAAAGGATGTCCCCTAACTCTGCCCTCTCACCCCCCTTCTTTCCCCTCCCTCACAGTGTCTGCAAAAGAGCCCTTGCGGTGCAGTAGTTAAAGCACTGGGCTGCAAACCACAAGGTTGGTGGTTTGAACCCACCAGCTGCTCCACAGGGGGAAAGATAAGGCAATCTGTGATGAGGCAATCTGCTTCCACAAAGAGTACAGCCTTAGAAAGCCTATGGGGCAGTTCTGCTCTCTCTCAGAGGGTCTCTATGAGTTGGAATCGATTTGATAGCAATAGTTTTTGTTTGTTTTTTTAAGGTGTCCACACTGACCTGGGAGCAGCTCAGACCTCTTTTTCCTCCCTCTCCCACTCCCAATGCCAGTAGTCCTATAGCAGCAACGTATCACCTGGAAACTTGCAGGTTCTCAGGTTCCAGCCCAGAACCTCTGAATCAGACACTCGGGGGTGGGGCCCAGCAAGCTGTGTGACAAGCAGCCCTCCAGGTGATTATGCTGCTGCTAACGTTTGAGAACCACAGCCAAACACCTCCCCTGTGTCCTCTTGGGGTGGGGGGGCATCCTCCCACTGGCTCAGGCTGACATCCCTTCTCTGGATCTCCGTCCGGCAGAAGCTGGACCCTTTCCTCACGGACCTCCGCCAGGCCTCATCCCTGCTGCAGGCTTCCATAGAGGAGTTTGAGAAGGGTGACCCTCCTGGAGGGGTGCAGGTGAGCTTGGAGCATAGGGTGGGGAGGTCACACATACCCCCCAGACTTCGAAGACGAAGGGCTCGTGCAGGGAACTCTCAGGATGGGCACCATCATCCTTGTTTTCCATTCATTCATTCGACTAATATTTATTGGGTCACTTGAAACCCAGTTTGGGATAATCAGACTTGTTCCTGTCGTCATGAGGCTCCCAGTGCCGTGGCAGAGGTAGTCATTTAAAACTTAAACAAAGAAAGTAATATGTAATTGCAAATTGTGCCATGAAAGTGAAATTGAGAATAATGGGGGAGAGGATCCAATTCAGGTGGCCAAGGAGGGCTGTGGCCTGAAGGACCAGCAGGAGCCTGCCGTGGACAGAGGCAGAGGGCAAACATATGCAAACATGTGCAAAGGCCCTGGAGTAAATTTATGCTTGCTGTGCTTTGTATTAGCAAGGAACACAGTGTGGAGCCGACTGAAGGGATAGTGGGAAGTGAAGGAGAGAAGAACAGAAAGGCTGGGGTTGAGATTTGATTTGAGAGTAGCAGGGGAGCTTCTGGAGGGTTTAAAGCAGGGGAATGATGGGATCAGATTTGCCCTTTGAGACCCTTCCTGTGGTTGCACAGAGAGTAGACTGTAGGGGGAACCAGAGTGCAGCAGGGACGTCAGTGAGGAGGGAAAGGAGTAAGAAGAGGGAGCTAGGACCACAGAGGTGGTCATGGCGGTGAAATGAGGTGTGGCTTGAGGAAATGCTTTAGAAATAGAAAGGACAGACTTTCTAGAAGGTTTTGAATGTTAAACTGGGGAAGTCGGGCTCAATCCAGGTGTGAGGAGCCCTAGAGGGCTGCTGAAGAAGAGTAGGATTGGGCCTCAGGCTACCTCCCCACCCTGGCAGGAAGCTGCCAGGTGCCTGAGCAAGTCCAAGGAGCTGATGGAGGCCGTGCTCAGGGACCCGGGCCTGCTGGGCCTCCAGCGAGAAGGTGGAGCCACCCTGGCCAGGCTGCAATGGGAGGCCAGCAGGCTGAACTTCAACCCAGACATCAGGTATGGACATCTGGGCCTTTCCATCCTCATTCCACCCCGATGCTATTCTGCAGCGTGCTCGGAGCTGGTGCTACCCCACTAAAGGGGGACACAGGACTTTCCCCAAGGATGCCCAGGATTGGGGTGTTTGCGGGGCATGTCTCCTGGGCAGGGGTCTGGTCATAGGCCCCACCTGGGCCTTGGGACGTTCCTTCTCCCTTCTCTATCACCCCCACTCCCCTGCTTCCGTCCTGGCCATCTTCAGCTGAGAGGGCTCCAGGCCCATTTCTGGTCACCTTTATGTACTAAGCACTCTCTCTGACTCAGAGAGTGGGCTAAGCCTTTCCAAGGCCCAGCTCATTTATTCCTCACAAGAGCCCCGTATGGCTGACCAGCATGGTCACCGCTTGGCTAATGGGAAACTGAGGTGCAGTGAAGTGGAATAACAGGTAGGGAATGGCCAAGCAGGGGGCTGAAGCCAGACTATCTGAGCACTTAACCCTTACGCTGCCCTGCTTCTCAGCCAGGCTGTGGGAACCTTATGGTATGTCAGGGGGTCTTGGAGTCACAGAATAAATAATTCTCATTCCTGAAAGATACTAACATTTTAAGTTTAGGGGTGGGGAAAAGTCAGTAATTAACTTGACGAGTAATTGGAACTATTTAGCTTTTATTAGAGCAAACCCCGTTACTTATATTCAGGAAGCAAGTGAAAGTTTGCATAAGCTTTTAAGGATGATTTGTTGAATTCTGGTGACACAGTGGTTCAGGCATTCGGCTGCTAACCAAAAGGTTGGTGGTTCAAATCCACCACCCACTCAATGGGAGAAAGATAAGGCAGTCTACTACCATGAAGATTTGTAGGCTTGGAAACTATATGGGGCAGTTCTACTCTGTCCTATAGGGTCACTATGAGTTGGAATCGACTCCATGGTAGTGGGGTTTTTGTTTTTTGTTTAAAAAGCACTCAGTTTGTGCAATGCTAACATCCCTGGGTGGTGCAAGCAGTTAAGTACTGTACTATTAACCTGAAAGTTGCAAGTGCAAGTCCACTCAGAGGCACCTTGGAAGAAAGGCCTGGCAATCTACTTCTGAAAGGTCACAGTGCTGGAAACCTGTGGAGCACGGTTCCGCTCTGCACATATGGGGTTGCCATGAGTCAGACTCCACTCAATGGCAGCTGTCCATTTTTTCAAATGTGCAATGCATCCTTCTAGGGAACTCTGGCGGCATAGTGCCTAAGCCATTTGACTGCTAACCAGAAGGCTGGCGGTTGAAATCCACCAGCCACTCCTCGGAAGGAAGATTGGGCAATCTACTTCCATAGTGATACTGCCTCAGAAACCCAAGAAGGGGTCACTATGAGTCGGGACCTACCTGACGGCAGTGAGTTCGGTTTTTTGGCATTGTTCTAAGGGCTTTACAAATATAAACTTTTTATATTCCCACCCATGAGTTAGATCCTAGTATCATCATTTTGCAGTGGGGAATCCCGAGGCTCAGCAAGAGGCTAAATGACTTGCTCAAAGTCACACAGGTGAGATGGGACAGAGCCGGGACCTGAACCCAGACAGTCTGACTCCAGGATCTTGAACATTCCATCCCGAGCTGTGTCCCCAGACTCAAGGGCAGGTTCACACAGATGGGAGTTGGAGAGCAGTGGGTTCAGGTGCTGGATGTGAGATCACCTTGTCCCTCACGCAGCCTTGTGGGGCTGGCGCCGTCTTTCCGAACACGCTCCAGCTTCACAGGCTTGGCCCAGACCCCTCCTTGTTCACCTTAGGCCCCTCCAGGCCCTTGGCCACTGGCGATTCCGCCAGGGGGCACTGTGGTCCCACATGAGCCACCACATCCTGGTTCTGCAGAAGACGGCCGGAACCTCCTGTCTTCCCACCTCCTTCTGCCAGGCGGGTTGGCATTTTCCGCCCTGTTCATGCACCCCAGGCCCTCACCCCTTCCCTGGAGGGGCGGTGACCCTGATCAGGTGGGCAGCTCCTTCCAGGAAAGCAGACTGACCCTCTACCTCCTCTTTGTCCTTTGCCTTTTGAAGTTCAACTTTCTAGGACCAAAGAGAGTGGGGTGGGACCTGAGGGACCTTGGAAAAGCCCCTAGATTTCTCCCTTCACCTGCTACAACCGCGCCTGAATCCCCTGTCAGCATCCCTTCCCTTACGTTTTGTTGGCTTTGACCATCTCAAAAAGTGACTTGGTAAGAAGCCCTGGACTGTGTTCTAATTCTGCCATGTGTGAGTGAGTTTCCCTCTTTAGCCCTCAGTTTTCCATCTGTAAAACGGAGGCTGGGGTAAAGCAGCATGTTACAGCCGCCCCACATCATCACAATAGAAATCATCAGAGCTAACAAACATGTCCTTCCTGTGTGGCGGGCACTATGCTAAATGCCTTGGGTGCAGGAGGGCTGGTTCTTAAGCCTGGCCATACTCTGGAGCCACCAAAGGTACTTTAAGGCACTGATAGCCAGGCTGCATCCCAGAGAGTTTCACTTTGTTGGCCTGGGTGGGGCCAGGGCATCGAGAGTTTGAAAAGCTCCCTGGAAGATTCTAATGTGCAGTCAGGATTGAAAGCCAAGGCCAGATCATTTAGTCATCTCTATGAAGTGGGCTCTGCTTTACAGAAGAAAAAACAGACAGAAAAGTTGAGAAATTTGCATGAGATTCCTTTCCTAGAAGGTGGCAGGGCTGGGATTTAAACCCAAATTTGTCCACCTCTAGGCTCTGTGGTGTAGTGGTTATGGCATTTGGCTATTAATCAAAAGGTCAGTGGTTTGAACCCACCAGCTGCTGTGTGGAAGAAAGATGAGGCAGTCTGCTTCCATAAAGATTTACAGCCTTAGAAACCAAACCCAGTAGGGGTTGCTATGAATTGTAATCGACCCCAAGGCAGTGGTTTTGAGTTTGAGGAAAGGGAAAAGGTCATTTCATTTCATAGTATGTCCTCTGGGCTTCCCAATCTTATGGAAGACTGAGGCCCAGAGAGAGATAGGGGCCTTCCTGAAGTTACATAGCCAAGTCGGCAGCTGAAATATCCAGGCTGGAGCCCCAGAGTTGGTGGGGGATGGGGGCACTATGTGGAGGTGGGGTCCTGGTCTTCTCTCACCCTCCTGTACTCCCCAGGAGCCACCTGGCCAAAGCTGTTGCCTTATATGGCCTTGTGGATGAGCAGCTGCATGTCCTAGTCATGGCGTCCAACCACCTTCTGGGAAAGCTGGAGCTCCGAGTCCGCCTGGGCCGCCTGGAGGCTTCTATCCATCAGGTGACTGGGCAGGCTTGTGGGGTGGGAGGAGCTATAGGGGAGGTCTGCCTGGCTGCCCTCCACAGGGACGTACTGCTCCAGGCCCTGCCCCAGCAAAGGCTTTCCTCTGGCACAAGGACACAGGGCTGGGACTCCTACAAGGACCAGGCAAGCATCCTTGGGGTGTGACCCGTGATGTGGCACTCAATAAGTGTTTATTGTTTAAAGATGTAACCACAAGAACTGTACTTATTGTGCACTAACTGTATACCAGGCGCAGGGCAGCATCTTTTGCATTGCTTTCTGACCTCATTACCTATCAGTGAGTTGGGGACAGTGTTAAGATTCCATCTGCTGCACAGATGAGGCAACCGAGCCTGAGAGACATTACATTACCTGCCTGGTTGCATACCTGGGGGTCTGACCCTGAAGCCCACACCTGGCACCACTTAGTCTATCTGCAGGTGCCTAGAACCAACACTTCCCTTCATGCCTGGGGCAGTGGAGACTGGTCACACGCACATGAGCTCTGGAGCCCGAGGACCCAGGTTCCAAGCCCGGCTCTACCATTTCCCGGCGCTGTGACTCTAGAGAAGTTATTTAACTATTCAGTGCCTCAGCTTCCTCCTCTGTAAAATGGGGTTGCTACTAGCACCTGCTCCATTGGATTTTATGAGGAAAAAATGATTTAATAGTGCCCTTTAAGACACCCCAAATAAGAAGGGGACTTCTGCTCATGGTGTCAGGCACCATCTTATCCCCTTTGTTCCTCACTGAATCCTCATGTCTACCCTCATTGTACCACTGAATAAATTAAGCCCTAGAAAGGGGAATGATTTGCCCAGTTCACACAGCAAGTCTGTGGCAGGCCCATGCACTCTCCTCTACAGCAGGCAGCTGTTTGCTTGCCCCCAGGGATGGGCAGCTCATCACCCCTAAACAGTTCTTTTTGTGATTGGGCAGCACTGAATGGTAGACTAAGCTGAAATTTGTCACCCTGTGACTTCATCCAGGCAAGTGTGTCCTGAGGGCCTACTACGTGCAGAGCACTGGTCCAGCCCAGATGCCCTCTGGGGTCCCTCTCGGGAAGTGCTCTCCCCAAGTGGTCTTGCCTCCTGCCCAGATTTGGGTGGGTTTCAGTCCAGGCCAATAGGCAAAGGCCCAGCCCCTGAAAGATTGAGGACAAGAAGACCTCAACCCCCAAGGAAGTCAGGGAGCTGGGCAAGGGGGCATCTCCCCAGCAGGCCCTCATCTCAAGCCTCCCTCCCCTGCCCCAGGTCAGCGAATGGATGGAGCAGGAAGGCAGCCGGTGCCTGCAAGCCCTGACTCCCAAGGATGGAAGCTTGGAGACAGTGGAGAAAGCTCACTCGGAATTTGAGGAATTCTTCCTTCAGGCGGCAGTGCGTTCCAAAACGCTGAGCAGTAGGACTGGAGCAGGAGAGGGCATGGGGGGTAGGGGGTACATGGCTCAGGCAAAGGTATGGAGGTGGGGAAGTATAAGAATACTTTCAGAGACAGCGAGGAAACCAGTTTCCACTAGAGGGTTCAGCTTAGATGTTCTCTCCTCCAGGAAGCCTTCCTGGGCTGCCAAGTCCAAAGACTGACTGTCTCAGAATACTCTAGAGGGTTTCTTAAGATGCAAATTCCAAGGCCTTACTCTAGACGTGGAAGGAGTTCTGGGGGTGTAATGATTAAGCCATTTGGCTACTAACTAAAAGGTCAGTGGTTTGAACCCACCAGCCACTCTGTAGAAGATGGGACAATCTGCTTCTGTAAAGATGTGCAGCATTGGAAACCCAGTGGGGGTCGCTGTGAGTTGGAATCGACTCAATGGCAGTGAGTTTGGTTTTGGTTTGACTACAGACCGGGAGCCCCTACATGGTGTAAGTGGATAAGCAGTCAACTGGGCTGTGCAAACCCACCTGGAGGCACCCAGAAGAACAGCCTGGAGATCCGCTTCTGAAAGCTCACAGCCTGGAAAACGCTATGGAGCGCCGTTGTGTTCCACACACGCAGGACAGCCACGAGTCAGTAACACCATCCCGGACCCGTTAAGTCAGCCTCAGAGAGCTGGGGTGGGAATCTGCAAGTTTGATGTGTTGGGCCCTGAGGCACAGGGTGATTGAGGCTGTCTCAGCTGTCAGGAACTCCCAGGCCAGTGGGGGACACCAACCAACCAGCTGCCATTAAATCAATTCCAACTCATGGCGACTGTTTGAAGAACTAGGTCTTTCTTCCAAGGCACCTCTCGCGGGATTCAAACCACCCAGGTGAGCGTGTGCTAAGCCCGTGAGGTGGATACCCATTAGGGTTCCCATGTTAGAGATGAGGACACCGAGGCTCAGGAGGTCTCACCTCCGAGCAGCAGCACAACGTGACGTTACCGATCTCTGGGGGAGGTTCAGCCTTGGCGAGAGCTCAGTGGACACGCTCCTCTCCCCGCGCAGGCGCAGTACCGCCGCGGCCTCGCGTTGTCCAAGCAGGCGGCCCAGCTGGGAGCTGCAGCTGGAGGGGCCGACGAGGTGGGTGGGGCAGGCTTCCCGGAGATGGCGGCCTTTGTCACCACCCAGCGGGCCTTCCAGGCTAAGCTGACCCACTTCTACATGGCAGCGGAGCGGCAACGCACAGACCTGGAGACGCTGCTCCACCTACACCGCTTCTGCAAGAAGGTGAGCCCCGCGGCCCACCAGCATAGACCCTTGGCTGGAGTGGGGTAGGAACAGCAAGAGGCCCACACTCAGTGTTAGGCTCTGTGCGTTCATTCCTTGGAATCCATGTACCACAGCCTCATGAAGGGCACGGAGCTTTACCCGCTTTCCAGAAGGGAAAACAAGGCTTGAGAAATCAAGTCACCTTCCTACACCAGGCCCAGCTGACCCCTGATCTCTGACCCCACCTTGTCCCACTGCACCAGGCAGCTTCAGAGGACCCTCAGGTATCACCTGCTTCTTATACTTGGGATTGGGGCCGTGGCCTGGGCCCTTCCAAGAACCCCATCAGCCTTGATGTTTTCCACACACACAGATCTCTCTCTGCATGTAACTTCAGGGGGTCAGGACCAGCTCAAAAGGCCCCAGGCTAAGAACTTGGATCTCATCCCACCCTTCTATTGCAGAGTTAGGGAAACAAGGTCAGAGAGGGGCCCACACTTAGTCAAATCACAGAGCAAGCCAAAGGCACACTCCCAGTGTCTGCTCTTTCCTCTGCCTCTCTCATGCCCTGGGCACTGTGGCAGGAGCTGGGAAGGGAGGTTGGTTGAGGGTGGGCCAAAGGCTGCTCCAAGCACCCTCAGAAGAGAGGACTCAGCCAGAGTTTGGTCAGAAGTGAGGATGAGGGGGTGACCCTACTGTATGTTGGGGGGAAGGGTGTTGGGGTGGGAGGCAAGAGGAACTCATTACCTTGTTTGATTGCACTTTGCTTTATTGCGCTCTGCAGATGTTGCATATATATATATATATACATATATATATATATATATATTTTTTTTTTTTGTAAATTCAATGTTTGTAGCAACCCTGCATTGAGTAAATTGAGCAAGTCTGTCGACACCATTTTTCCATCAACCTGTGCAAAGTTGGTGTTTCTGTGTTGCATTTCAGTAATTCCCACAATGTTTCAAACTTTTTCATAATGCTATTGTACGCTTAATAGACTACTCAACTCACCACCGTCGAGTCGGTCTGACTCAGAGATCCCTCCTTGGGTTTCCAAGGCAGTATCACTATGGAAGTAGATTGCCCAATCTTCCTTCCGAGGAGTGGCTGGTGGGTTTGAACTGGCAGCCTTCTGGTTAGCAGTCAAATGCCTTAGGCACTGTGCCACCAGAGCTCCTTAATAGACTACAGTATAGTGTAAACATAACTTTCATATGCACTGGGAAACCAAAAAAATCGTGTGACTCACTTTATTGCAATATTCGCTTTATTGTGTTGGTCTGGAATCGAACCTGCAATGTCTCTGAGGTATGCCTATACTTTGCATCTGTCCTCTCCTGGCAACCCAGTGTGCCAGGGCTGATCAGCCCCATTTTACAGGTGAGGACACTAAGGCCCAAAGAGGGGAAGGACCTTGCCCATAGAGGCCATGGAGCTGGAGAGAAGAGTTGGGATGTGAACACAGATGTGTCCATGTTCTACAACATACCTTATGCCCTTCTCCAAATACAGAGGAGGAAGTGGCAACAGATTCCATGTTCAGGAGGGCACAAAAATGATAATGATGATGGAGATGCTTAGGTTATTATAAGGGTACCCCCTTATTATAAGGGTACCCCACATCACTGAGCACGTCCTCCATGGTGAACCTTGCTATAAGTGCTTCTCACACTGTGGTAGTTAAGTTTGTGTGTCAACTTGGCTGGGCCTGGTTGAGTAGCTGGGCAGCTGGTGGCAGTTATTCCCTATGATGAGACTGGCAATCAGCTCCATGGTGGGCTCTACCACAAGCAGCTGAGTAGCTGCTTTAGGGATATGGTCTGCTTCCAGTATATAAGAAGTAGCTTTGGGAATGGTCTCTAGCTTATGGCATGCTTGAACCCTGCGTGCAGCCAAATTCAGCAGCCTGCCATGCTCTGCCCATCCTGGGACTTTCAATGGACTTAACTCCATGGCCTGCCGTGTTGTTTGGTAACATCGGGACATACCATTTTATTTGTTGACCTTGGGTTTGTCAGCCTCAGCAGCCAGGAGCTGTCTGAGTGAAGAGATGCCTCTAGCTTCGGTGGGCCAGGAACAAGAGGCAGAGCTGAAGCCCAAGGTCGAGGGGATTTCACATAGCTCTTAGAGTCTGGCACTTGGAACTTGGACTTCTAGACTCCAAAAATTGTAAGAATAAACTCCTGTTTGTTAAAGCCATCCCATTTGTGGTATATTCCTGTCAGAGCAGCACAGAGGTAACCAAAACACACCTCAACCTGATGTAATTCTCACCGTATCTTTGATGGCACCTAACAACATCTTTGTGAGGAAAGAGAATCAACATTGTTTCTTTTCTTTCTTATTGTGTTTTGGGTGCAAATTTACAAAACAGATTTATTTTACATTCAACAGTTCATGCCCTGATTATCATCCCCAACCACAAAAAAGTCCCCTCCCTGAGCTCCCCCCTCCCTGGGCCTCCCCCTCCCTGTGCTCCCCCCTCCCTGGGCCTCCCCCGTCCCTGGGCCTCCCCCCTCCCTGAGCTCCCCCCTCCCTGGGCCTCCCCCCTC